TTCCATCTTGAAGTTTCTAATAGTTTTTGAACATGGGCCCCACGTTTCCATTTTGCACTGGCCCTGAAAATTACATAGCCCATCCAGAGTGGCAGAGAGGGAGAAGGGCAACTCGTGGGCTGCACTCTCGTGGGGCCCGTGGTGGAGCTTGGCTGTATACCCTGGGATCAGCTGAACCACCTTCCCCCAGACTGCCCCCCAACACTTGCTCAGCTTTGCTTAGCTGAAATAGGATCTCTGACCCTTGTTAAGTTGCCTATATCAGTCACCCTGACCCAAACTGTTTGGTTTCTGCACATGTAATCATTTCCATTTCTGTGATCTACCCCTCCCCCAGCCCCACCCAAGATTTGCAAAGTAGCAGCTGCTGCCATCCCTCTGCTCACAGACAGCTGACTTGCCTGCTGATTGTGAACGTCCCAGTAATCCAAGTGCTAATGGTATTTATCCAGTCCAGCCGGCTTAGCCCTGAACAAGGTTTAGTCTCATTTATCTCATCAGAGACAAGCTACGTCCTTAATATCCTTCTGTTGACTTTGAGCACACCAGCTCCACGGATGTCGCTGAGAGGCAAGCCAGGCCCCTGCCCTTTTAACGCACTCAAATCCCCAGCTGTCGGGCTCCGCACCTTTCCGTCCCACCCCCTGCATGGGCCACAGCTCCCGTCCTGAGCCCGTAGGCTGGGAGGGAGATGAGGCCAGCATATATGTGCCCTGGACATCTGTGTTCCCGGGACAGCTGTGTTCTCGAGGATATGGTCTGGGCTCTTTGTAGCAAACCCACTGTAATTGTAATGTTTCCATCACATTGCATTGGCTGCATTTTGGCACTCGATACCTGTTGTATCTTTAACACAAGGTAGTATTAGCTCTGCCTCACAGGTAAGGAAACAGAAATGAAGGGACTTGCCCAAGGTCATCAACCCTTGTTCACAGGATCCCCACCAAGTGTCCTCCAGGCGCTGGCCCTTGTACATCCCCTAAACTCACTCAGCTTTCTGGGGCATTTCATCCCCCAAAGTACAGAGTAATGAACATTCAGAGCCCAAGGCTAAGCTGCGGGGGGAGGGAGAGGTTCTGAGAGCATGTTGGTACCTGCCCCTCCACAGTGGATTGCCTGAATGCCCAGCTTACCTGTTCCCGCCTGGCTGGACTGAGTGTCATTTGGAGACTCCACCTTCATTGGAAGCTCTGCCTTCTCCACCTTTCCTCTGCTGTGTTCCTTAGCCCCTTGATTGGGCAGGACTAAAAGACGTTTCCAGAAGGTATTATACAGAACCCCTGAAGTGTGCATGGTGCCCCTCAACTCGGGAGTAGGGCCCACAGTTACATGGGCACCTTACCTTCATTTAAGTTAGGAGAAAAGGCCCAGGGCTGTTGAGGCCACACTTGGCCACAGGCCCATGTTTAGCCGATGGTCCTGCTCTCCTCACCCAGGTTCTTTAGGACTTGGCTGCAGGTGAAAAAGTAGATTTATTACCTTATGAAAATGATTTCAGCAAGTGAAAAAGTATCAGGCTTTCACTTTTTCCCTTTGGTTTCTTTCTGTGTGACTTCTATTTTGTCTTACCTTAATGAGTTCCTCTCCTTGGGGATGGGGTGGGACCCGGCCACTGTTGTCATGACCCTAGGTGCTCCTGGCTTATAGCAGCCTATCTTATGGAGAAGAGAACTTCTTTTGGTCGTGACTCCATTACAGACTCAGGGCTCTGATTGCCCAGTCCTGGGTGACCCACAGAGGCCATGGTGGTGGCAGGCTATCATGGACCAGCGCCCAATCCACAAGCCCTTTCCCGTGGTTTCAGGAGTTGCCATAAGGACCCCATCAGGACCATAAGGAGTGGGAGAGGGAGCAGTGTCTCAAAGGAAGGGAGGCAGGGGTATCACTACTGGGAGGCAGGACAGAAGGGATGCTGGGCAGGTACAGGTGCACACCGCACAGCCACAGCCAACCTGACCTGGGAGTGGTAAGTTGTGCCTGGTTCAGAGTGTTTTGCCATCTCATCTCTTGTCCCCAGGGCGACTGTACTGAGGCAGACCCCGCTCATGGGCCCTCTCTGGTGTCTGCTTGTCACCAACTTTTTGTTTTACTTAGGGTTTGGTATTTGCTGAGCAAGGAGGAGCAGGAACAGGTTCTGCTTGCTGGACGATGTCTGGGTCCTGCATCACCCTTCCTAGGTGATGCGGGGACCTTCCTGGTCCCAGCCAGCAGACTTCAGTGCTGTCGGTAGCTTGGCCTCCTGACCTGCACCTTCTTGTCAGCTGTGCCTGCACCCATTTCCATGACTTTCCAGGGTAACTGTTCACACACTCATGCTGTTCCCTGAGCACCTGCCCTTCCTCCTGTCTACAAGCTATCTTCTTCAGCCTCCTGCAGTGTCTCTTCTCCAGTGCAGCCCTCCTGGATCTTCCAGCCCAGACCTTCCTGTTCTTTCTCAGGAACCCCTGCCCGCCCCCAGCCTTAGGTTCAGAGCAACTTGGTCTGGCCTCGTGTTAATATCATTCATTCCCTCTGTAACTTCTAAGTAAAATCTGGTGGATAGTCTCTCTCCTGTGTGTGGATCCTGGCTTGTTCAGTAGCAGAGGGCTGGCTGAGCTTCCCCAAAGACCTGTCCTGCATGTGGGGCTGCCTGTACATCGTTCCTAAGACAGACTGCTGTCTGGCCGTCTGTCACTTACATCAGGGCTCCCATGGAAAAGAAGTACCCGCGAAGCCATGGGGATTTGCCTAGATGGTACGTGCCCTCCCCTTAAGGCCCTGGTACTTTGTTTCTTGTTGGTGCTTTGGTTGCCTTAGGGGTTTGAGCCTTCTCTCCCCTCCTAACAAGCAAGACATGGGTGAGCACGGTTCCCCTCCCTCCTAACACTGCCTCGCGTTGTGACAGGGCTGCTCCTCTGGGTGGTGTCCAGGCAGGTCCTGGTTCCCAGCATTCTCAAGTGGCTTTCCTAATGCACCTGGCAGGTGATTCTCTCATCTCTAGGTCTTGTTCTCAGCTCCATGTGCTGTCTTTGGAGGACCTTGCCCCTGCTACCGTGTGGGCCCGTGAGCGATGGTGTTCCCTATGAGGCTGATGTGATGTTGGGTCTCACAGCCCCCCTTCCTTGGGAGGCAGCTTTTGACGTCTGTGTGAATTTCTCAACATGGTCGTCTTTTCCTAGAAAAGACCCTGCCTGTTGCGGGTGAGCGTTCCTCAGGCACATGATGGCAGAGGCAGTCCTAATTAGCTCATGCTTTGATGAAGCAGCTGCCTTTCTCAAGTTGGGGGGAGCAGGGGGCAGGGGAGAGGCTCAGCTCCCCAGCCCTCCTGCATTGGTGCCCACCTGCTTGTCTGGAGAGGAGCTGTCAGCTTCCCTTCCCCAGAGACCCTGGCCCATCTCCAGGCCGCCCCAGAGACACACCGGTGGGGTTGCCGTGGGACAGGCTGGCACCCACCCTGCACATCCTTTCTGGCTGAGATGATGCAGAGGGACCCACGCACCTCCCATTTAGAGCAGGAAAACTGGCTCAGTGTGCTAAGTCTTCTTTGAAACTTGAAGCTGGTGCCTGATAGGTTCGGGCCCCATCACCATGCCATTGGGCCAGCTTTCACGGGGCACCTGCCATGTGGCAGAGGCTCTCTTGCAAGCAGCAGTGTGCATTCTCTTGTTACCTGTCTCCCATTTCCTCTGGGTCTCAGATCCTGCCTCACTCTGCAGGATCACGAGGGCCCCTTGCCAAGGTTGGGGGTTAAGAGGAACAGGTGCTCTTTCGGTCTCCAGGGAGCTGGTGGCCTTGCTTAGGTGAAGGAGCCAGAGCCAAGAAGAGACTCAGTGCCCTTTGTGGGCTGTCTATGCAAGTGTGGCAGCCACTCTGTGACCTCTGGTCTCGCCCCTCCTCTTCCTTCTGGCCTCAGGGTTTTTAGGAGCCTGCCACATTTCTTCTCTGAGGCCTCCTAAGTGTCTGGCAAGGGAGCCTTGACCTCCCTCGAGGGCCTAACCACCCAGGTCCCTGTGCTTGACACTTCTCCCGAACTGATCACTAATTTGATCTTGGAAAGCAAGAGGTTCCCAGTCTTATTTCCTCCCGGGCACCCTGCCCTGTGGAGGGTTCACTGGCAGGGCCCCTATGCTTTCATCCAGGAGAGTTGTGCCTGAATGTTTGAACCTCCTTGCTCTTTTGCCAGCCCAGAATGGGAAGAGGAGCTAGAGAGGCAGCTCTGGGTTTTGAGTGTTAGTGTTGCTGTGTGTGGGTTGGTACAGTCCTGGTTGTGCACACATGTTGATACATCCTGGCCCTCTTTTCCTGGGCCCCATGACAGAGGCTATATGCTGAGTACTGATAACATGGGGGCAATCCCAGCAGCTACTCTCACAGTGGGGAGGCATCTGGGTTGGTCTTGTTTTAGGCTCTGCTCAGGTTAAGAGGCTCCCTGGCTCTCATTCGTTCTTGCGCTCTTTTCCCCCCACAAACATTGACTATATGTTGTCTATGTACTCCACCCAGAAGAGAAAAGAGGAGTGGGTCCCAGCACATGGCCAAGAGGAGCTCATAATCCGAGAACAGACCTGTCAGTAATTGCCCCCAGTGTATGATTGCATGGGGTGATGGAAAGAGGAAGACCCAGTGTAGGCCTGGGGACTGTGAAGGAAGGCTTTCGTGGGAGGGACACTGAGTAGCACCTTTAGCATCAGGAGATCTTAAAGGGGTGTAGGTGATTTTCCTTCCCAGATCACTCCAGCCCAATGTTTGCTGGGTGGTAGGATGTTGTGGGAGCCGTTGGTCTGTGATTCTGGCCATAGGCTTTGGTACCCAGGTAGATGTGTAGTCATTCACTTGTTTAGCCAGCTAAGCTCTAGCTTATCCCAAGAGGGAATGCTCCTCTGGGCACCTTAGTTTTCCCCAAGGGATGGCTGGTACATTATCACCCCCTGAACCACCAAGATCCCTGGGCTGTGCACAGTGATGTGTCCCCAGCTTGGTGAGGAGTTATAGTGTCATGCTGTCCTGTGCTTTCCCTCCAGCAACCCAAAGGTTCAAGTAGAGGCCATTGAGGGGGGAGCCCTACAGAAGCTGCTGGTCATCCTGGCTACGGAACAGCCTCTCCCTGCAAAGAAGAAGGTATGTATCTGCTCCCTCCCTGCTGCCCAGCCCCTAGCACATCTGCAGAGCCTGAAAGGCAAGGGTCCCTTTTCAGGCTGTGCCTGTCACCCTTGGGGACCTGAGTGCTCACCCATCCACTGGGTGGCATAGGGAGAGAGGTCCCACTCACCTCAAGCAGCATGACAGTTTGCTGAGGCATCTGGAGGCCTCAGTTCAGCTCCCATCATAGTCTGGGATACCACCCTCGGGCTTCTTGTGTTGCGGTCTGTCTGCCCAGGGGGCGATGTTAAAGGTGTCTGACCCCTCTTCCAGCTTTCACAGAACTGTATTCTGGGGTATAGCTGGACCTGAGGGACGAAAAGAATGGAGGCTGGGCTGGGGTCGTCGGGGCACTTCTGGCTGCGTTTACTGGGCCCCGGAACAGGCCGAGTACCATGTGGCCCATCACCCTCTGCAGGTCCTGTTTGCGCTGTGCTCCCTACTGCGACACTTCCCCTATGCCCAGCAGCAGTTCCTGAAACTGGGGGGCCTGCAGGTGCTGCGGAGCCTGGTGCAGGCAAAGGGTACAGAGATGCTGGCTGTGCGTGTGGTCACTCTGCTGTATGACCTGGTCACTGAAAAGGTGAGTGCCCAGACCTGGGATGCCTCCGGGTCACTTTGCTTTGTTTTGCTTCTGGCCTTTTGGCCCTGGCCTCTTCCATCCTGCCTTCCATCCTCCTAACAGTGCTCCCGAGAAAACGTGCCAGACTGTGCTGGGTAGACCTGGAGGCTGTGGAGGCCCCTCCTTGGGGTCCTGAACCCAGAATTTCTGAGGGAGGGTGTCCCATGGGATGTGACGGCTAAACTGAAACCTGAGGGCTGGTGAGGAGGGGAAAGGGGCCGGGGTGCCGGGGGTGGGGGTGTGCCAGAAATGGCCAGGATTGGCCCTTCATGGAATGACAGGTCATTTGGCTAAAGCCTAGGGTGGTGCGATAGGGAGCCGGTAGGATGGAGCAGCTGTGTCTGGGAGCCCTCGAAGCAGTAGGAACAGCAATTAGCCAGAGCCTGGAATGAGGCTGAATCTTTAGCTTCTAGAAATGTGATCTTTGGATTTTTAGGTTTAGATTTTTAGATTTCGATCTTTAGATTCTAGAAACATGCAGGTTCCTCCTCTGGGAGCTTTGACCCTGGGCAAGGGCTTGGAATGGCTGCCCTCGAGGGGCCCAGGGACCCTGTTGTTGCCACCTGGCAGGAGACTCGGTGTCCAACCCACTTTGGTCTTTGTGAGCCTAGAAAGTCTCTTAATTAAGAACAGAGTGCAGCCAGCCGGGCCTGGATTCTGAATGCAGTGGCTGCAGAGTGCGATAGCAGAGCTCTCAGCTCGCTTTCTGGCCACGCTTTCCCTAGAACAGCCGAGCCACCGCTGAGTGTCGGAGGAGGAGAGGCCCAGGCCTGCCTCCCTGCTCCTGCCTCACACCGAGGGTGGGAGTGTCTGGTTGCTGTTGTGAGTGCATGGACTCTCTGGTGCTCCCTGTGTCTCTAGGCCTGGCTTGTCCTTCATTCTCTCCTGTTCTCCCCCTCTCTCCCTCTCTTTATCCCCCTCTCTCTCTTTCCCCTCTTTCTCGTTCTTTCTCTCTCTCTAAGCTGCAGAAACCCAGAACAGCAGGCAGCCATGTGCTGCTCACATCCAATTAATAAGGCCTGGGCACAGTTGACTTCCTGGCAACAGGCCAGCAAGCCTGGAGAAGGACCTGTGTGTTGGCTTGGCGTTTCCCGGGAGAAACTGACCTCTTCCCCCTGCTGAATTCGGTGTCTCTTTGCCACCCCCAGTCCTGGCATGGCAGGTGCCGTGGCATTGGCATGTCCCTGGAGAGCTGCGCAAGTCAGCCGGCCCCCAGGGCTCACCTGGAGGCTTGGGGTGCTGAGAACACTGGTGTTTCTCTGTGGAGAGTACTGGGATAGCTGTCCCTCTGCAGGCGGGGAGGACAGTGGAGGAGTTTCTGCCGCCGGTGAGCGTAGGACAGGTGTCAGCCGAACTGTGCTTGAGGCAGCTGGGGCTTCTCTTTTCTTGTAGTTCCCTGGAAAGAATGAAAACTAATGAGCCCGGGGCTGGGTCTGGAGCTGCGCGAGATGGCAGCGCATCAGGTTGCCGTTGGAGGTGCCCCACAGCTCGAGGGTGTTGTGGGAAGGGGGCAGCTGCTTGGCAGAGTTCCCGTGGGGAGTGCACCCACCTCTCACGGTCCCTGTCCTCCTGCTGCTTTGGGACAGACTTTATTGACAGTAGCACCTGGAGCATGTGGGCTGCAGAGGCCTACAGTTGGGGGCCTCTGACCTGTTCGGGCAAGTCAGGGGAGGCAGTGAGATCTGAGGGGTGAGTTAACCGGGGAGTTGGAGTTAGGTGGGAGTGCGCCTCCAAGCTGCACCTTAAGGGCTCTGGGGGACAGTTTGTGTGACAGGTGCATGAGTGAGGGCGTGTGTGGGGACGAGGCCCTGCACAGTTGGGGTGGACCCTGCAGGGCCTTGAAGTCCTTGGAAAGGGATTTAGTTATGAACATCAGAAATGCTCAGTTGTGCAGGGTGTAGGGCTGGACAAGTCTACTGTCAGCTGGCTGGAGGTGGTTGTGAGTGGGAGGCAGGGGGCTGACAGGTGCAGTGAGTGGCAGTGGACGTGGAGCAGAGGCCAAGGGCGATGGGGCCTTGAATGTTCCAGGTGCAGCTGGGGTACGTGGGGTAGCTTAGGAAAGGACTGTCAGAGCCCTCTCATCCTTTTCTGGGCCAGGATGCTGATCCCTGCCCCTCCCTGCTTCCTCCACCAGCCCCAATGGACCCCAAGGCCATCCGGTGGTGCTCTGTGGCCCCTGCTCTTTGCCTGGGCTTTCCTCTTGTCTTCCCTGTCCTTAGCATGCCTTGTTCTCCCCTGGAGTAAGGGCAGAGCTTGCAGGTACACTTAGTACAGCCAGTAGAGCACGTCTCCACCCTCTCCCTGCTCATCCTTCACCTCTGCCTTCCCCCAACATTCGAGAGAAGCTGGTCACTCACATTTCAGGTGTGTCCTGCCCCTGTAGCCTGGCAGGCATGGATCCTACCGTATTGTGCTGGCGGGGCTGGGTTTCTGTACTTTACAGCCACTGGCCAAGCTTGTGACTTTCTGCCCAAACTTGTCTCAACTCCCCAGGCCCTTGGCGTAAAGGCCACACATAGCCGGGACTCAGCCAGACCGTCACGCCCCCTGGGCCAGAACAGACTCACATTCTACACACAGGAAGGGGGCCTCGGCCTACTGTTGTGACCCTCCCGTGTGTGGACCCTCCACCCTTGTCTACTTGGACAACTCCCACGTAGTCCTCCAAACTCAGGGAAGTGCCATCCTGTTCTCTTGGCTGTGCCCTCTGTCCTCTGAGGGAGTGAATCTTGTGGAGGTGATTGAGAGCTGAGCGCCCATTGCTAGGTGTGCTGGGCACTGGCCATGTGTGGTCCTGAAGGGGGCACATCGTCACATAAGAGATGACGCCATGCCCGCCCAAGGCTGTTCAGCTGTCAGTGGCGGAGCAAGAGTTTGAACCCAGACTGCTGGCATCCACTGGGCACTGCTGAATTGCAGTCATTGTGCTCCTCAGGGATTACTCCGTTAATTTGTCTTCTGCTAGACCCCGAGCTCCTCGAGGGCAGGGACCATGTCTCCGTCTGGGTTTCTCAGGCATACTGCACAGTTGTTTTTGATGAATAGATGGATGGACAGACAAATGGACCTATGGATGGATGGGTGGGGGAGCCTGATTGAAGCCATGAATCCAGCTGGCCCTCTCCCATGTTGGGCCTTTGAGTCCCAGAAGGAAGAGCGGGTGGACGGATGATGAGCCACCTGCCTTCCCACCCGAGCAGCGCCCCTGACTGCTCTCTGTGTGTTCTCTCCCCCAACCCTGTTCCGGGTGCCTGGCCATGTGGACAGCAGATGTTTGCTGAGGAGGAGGCCGAGCTGACCCAGGAGACGTCCCCGGAGAAGCTGCAGCAGTACCGCCAGGTGCTCCTCCTTCCAGGCCTGCGGGAGCAGGGCTGGTGCGAGATCACCGCACACCTCCTGGCCCTCCCTGAGCACGATGCCCGAGAAAAGGTGCTGCAGACGCTGGGCGCCCTCCTGGCCACCTGCCGGGATCGCTACCGCCAGGACCCCCAGCTCAGCAGGACGCTGGTCAGCCTGCAGGCTGAGTACCAGGCTCTGGCCGCCCTGGAGCTCCAGGACGGCGAGGATGAGGGCTACTTCCGGGAACTGCTGGGCTCCATCAACAGCTTGCTGAAGGAACTGAGATGAGCAGGCTGCTCCCTGCCACCGGGACTGGACTGGGACATTAGTGAGGCTGACGGACACCAGCTTGGATGGGGTCCTCGGGGGACAGTAGCCGGGGGGAGGACTTCCCTACTGGGGCCTGGGCATCATCTGGGCAGTGCCAGCTTGGCCATTAAATGGAGGCATGAGGGCCATTGTCTGTTGTGTGTCTCTGCAGACCAGACACAGTCCTGTGGTTGAGGGACTGTGTCTAGGAGCCCCCAGGTCACTGGGTAGATAGGCACCCCAGAGGTCCCTGATGACACGGCGGACGGACGGCCTGGGGCATCCAGTAGTAGGCCCCATGGGAAGGGTCTGGGCTCAGGAGTTGGAAAGCCCTGGCTGGGACCTCGCTCTTCCCCACCCAGGAGCTCTGTGACCTTGGCAAGTCATTTACCTTTCCATGGGCCTATTTTCTCAGCTGTCAGAGGGGAGTGCCATTAAGTGTGAGCAAACCTGCATAAAGCACTACAGCAGCGCACCTGTGCTTGTTCCTTCCCCCACCTTGCTCTGATGGAAGGTTGGTGGCAGGGTGGGGGGGTCATCTCACTGCCCTCTGTGCATGGAAATAGCTTTGAGGTCCATGGCAGTGGCACTCTGTCAGCCCCGGCAGCTTATGGGTTGGGCTGGAGCGATTGGTGCTGGGACCAGGGTGCTGAAAGGATTGGGAGTGACTTGCAGCACTCTGGAGGGCTTGGGTGTGGGCCTTGCTCTGGGAGGGGAGTGAGCTCCCTAAAACTGGAAGTAGGAGCCCAGGCCCGCCTGGCCCACCTGACAGGGCAGAGGTGCGTCTCTGTGCCCTCGCCCCTCCCCCGTGTCAGCCGAGGTACACTGCGGAGGAGGCCTTGGAGGCGGGGGCAGCCGAGCCTGGCAAGTCCCGGCCCCCACCCCACAGAGACTGAGTGCCAGGCTGGGAGCCTGCTGCAGGTTGCCACGGCAACTCCGGCCCTGGGCTTTCCTGATTTGGATTCTGGTGCGTTTGTTTTTCAGCCTTTCCCAGTGCATCACAGGCTCACTCCTGCTGCTTAGGCAGCCCCTCCTGGCCTCTGTGTAGAAATCTCCCCCATCCTGGCCTGACATGTAGAAATCTCAGTTTCACAGAGCTCATGGGGAAACCAAGGCCCAGACAAACATAAGGTAATGGGTAGCTTCCTTCCTTGCAGTCCTTTTGTTTGGCCTCCCACCCTCTTCTGCCCACCTCGTGCCACAACACATAGGAAGCTCACAAGAGAGTGGTCACCTGAACACAACCCTCCCAGGAGGGCAGGAGAGAAGCAGCAGCCTGTTTTGCCAGGGTTGGAAGGCTCGTGGTTCAGGCGTCATGGGGATCAGACCCAAAGTTTATCACGTATTGGCTATTTTCTGCCTTGTTGCCTTTAAAACCTTTAAATCGCCTTCTGATTATGTTTTACAGATGAGGAAATCATGGCTCAGAGAGGCTGCATGGTCATGTGAGGTCACACAGCTTTTGAGTGGCAGAGCTAGGATTTGGATCCAGCATGTTGCGGAAGGCTTGCATATGTGGCTCAGAAGGTGATAGTGTTGAATTTGATAGGCAGGCAGGGGCAGGAAGACCACGATGGATGGCAGAACAGCTCTGTGGTGAAGCAGGGCAGGGTTCAGAAAGGAGGTCCTGGGCCTGGCTAGGACCAAGGTCAAAAATCCCTTTAAAGATGGTGTCAGCAGGGGCGCCTGGGTGGCTCAGTGGGTTGAGCCGCTGCCTTCGGCTTGGGTCATGATCTCAGGGTCCTGGGATCGAGCCCCGCATCGGGCTCTCTGCTCAGCAGGGAGCCTGCTTCTTCCTCTCTCTCTGCCTGCCTCTCTGCCTGCTTGTAATCTCTCTCTGTCAAATAAATAAATAAAAAAAATTAAAAAAAAAAAAAGATGGTGTCAGCAGACTGGGGGAATTTGAGAGAGGAGGGTGGTAGGATGACGCTGTCCCTGCACATGCTGGGAATGAGGAGGGCTCAGGGTTGGGGAGAAGTCCAGTATGGGCCTCGTCCTGGCAGAGATGAGAGCTGAGGTTGTGGGAGCAACTGTGCCTTTGAGCGAGGGCTGGCGAGACCCTGCTGAGTTGTGGAGTGGGGCCTTTTGTTGGCCTGGGACAGTAGCAGCTGGGGCTGGGGTCCTTGAGTCCTCTTTGACCACCAGGATCTTATCTGGGTTGTTGGAAGGGGTCCCCATGGAAGGACTAACATGAGTGGAGGCTTAGTTGAGGACCCCAGTATCCCTCCACCCTCAGGCATGCTGCAAAATACAGCATTTAACTATAAAGAGGGGCCTCTGCTTGTTGAGCGTCTGCCTATGGCTCAGATCCTGATCCCGGGGTTGTGGGATTGAGTGCCATGTTGGGCTCCCTGCTCAGCTGGGAGCCTGCTTCTCTCTCTCCCTCTCTTCTTGCCCCTCCCGCTGCTCGTGCTCTCTCATTCTCTCAAATAAATAAATCATTTAAAAAAACCTAGGGGCGCCTGGGTGGCTCAGTGGGTTAAAGCCTCTGCCTTCGGCTCAGGTCATGATCCCAGTGTCCTGGGATCGAGCCTCGCATCGGGCTCTCTGCTCAGCGGGGATCCTGCTTCCCCACTTCTCTCTGCCTGCCTCTCTGCCTACTTGTGATCTCTGTCAAATAAAATCTTAAAAAAAAAAAAAAAAAAGAACCTAAAAGGAGACTTTGGACTATGAGCTCTTTGTGGGGAGTGGAGGCAGGGGTGTGTCAGTGGGACTGAAGGAGTATCTGGGGGCAGTGGTGCTGAGCACACAGGCTGGGTGGTTTACTGCTGCTACCCTGTTCTCCACTCCACATCCACAAAGACAAGACCTAGCGAAGGGTGAAGTTTGGTCTGTACTCCTCTTACTGGCCTCTGACTTTCTGGATCTTGAAGCAGAACCTCCTGGACGGAGGCAGCAGTGTGACCCAGGGCTTGGGCTCAGTCCCAGGCCCAGGCTTCTTGGCTGTGGCTTCTGATTCCACCATCCAGTTTATCACTGATGTGAGCAAAAAGGAGACTTTCTCTGTCCTCCTTTGGATGCCATCCTGGAAACTGTGGCCAAGAAGTAGGACCTGGGCTCAGAGTTAGGCAGAAAGTGGTAATGGGGTCTGTAGCCACCAGAACTCAGGGTGATGTGACTTTTGCCAAGGCCTAGACCCTACTCTCATCTTCTCCCACCCCTGACATGCACTGGAGCCTTATGGCAGGGACAGGACAGAGAGCTCTGACTGGATGACACCCTCTAGGCCCTGGATGGTTACGCTTCCCTGCTCCTCAGCAGGGCTGAATGAGGCCCTCTCTGGGAGGATGACAGGGCAGTGGGAGAGGGGTGGTCGTCTACCGTCCCCACCCCAGCCCTCAGCAGACTTGGTTTTCATTAATTCACTTGTTCATTTATTCTTTCATTCAGACTGTGTTTGTTGTGCACTTAGGTAGGTTCCAGGGTTCCGAGGTTGGTCAGTCACAAGCCCTGCTGTCAGAGAGTTCACGGTCTGGTGGGGGAGGCAGCAGTGGTATCACATGTACTCTGATGGGGGAGGCCTCTGTCAGTTGGAGCTGAGGGAGGGTCAGAGGAGGCCAGTGATAGCCAAGCTGAGAACTGAAGGACATGTGGAGAATAAGCCAGCTGAGGCAGCGGAAGTGTTTCAGGCCCAAGAAGATAGAGGAAGACCTGTGCTGAGGGAGAGTGGTCTGTTGGAGGACCCACGTGTTTAGTAGAGCTGAAAGAAGTGATGGGGTGAGGGGCCAAGTGGCCACATGGAGCCATAGGGGTCGAGGGGACCACTTTGTCCAGCACCTCATCAGCCTTGCTAAGGAGTGTGCCCTCATCCTGATGGGGGGGGGAAGTGAGGGCTGGCTTGCAGGCACTCTCCTGGCTGCTAAGTCGTTTGCTTATTCTTTCATCCTGATTTAGTACAATTGCATCTACCAGGTCCTATTCTAGGGCAGGAGGTGGTCAGAAGAACAGTGGCGGGAGGGGCGGACCAGGACAAGTACGTGAATGCTGAAAAAAATAGCGTTCTATAGCGTTCAAGCAGCAAATGCCAAGGAAAATGAAGTACAAGTTGGGAGAGTGTTAGGGGCTCCCTTTTTGGACCCAGTGGTCAGGGAAGGCTTCTCTGAGGAGATGCAGTGTGAACAGAAGGAGGCAAAACCGTGAGCCCTGTGGGTGTCAGGGCGGTACTTTGTAGGCTGGAGAGATGGCAGAGGCAGGTGTCTGAAGAGCGAGAGTCTCAGCACGGTGAGAGGAGTGAGCCCGGGCCAGGGCTTGAGGGCTCTCTTGGCAGTGGTGCTGCTGGCGAGCTACGGGCCGAGGAGAGACCCAATGAGACTGACCCTTCAGCAGGAGCGCTCTTAGTGCATGGTGAGAACAGACAGCACGGGCGGGGACAGTGGCAGGGTCCCAGCGCCGTGTCCGTGCAGAGCCGGGTGGGAGGTGATGTGGTTTAAACCCAGGTGATGAGGGCGAAGGCTGTACAAAGTGCTCAGACCCAGATGCGTTCTAAAGGCAGAGCTGAGAGGACGCACTCAGTGATGGCCTGTGGCTGAGAGGAGAGGGGTCAGGGCTCAATGCAGCCTCGCTCTGGGCTGGCACAGAGGGGCCTGTGGAGGTGCCATCTACGGAAGTGGGAAGGCAGAAAAGCAGGGGAGTACTGGGACCTGGTCACGGACGCTGTTTTGGCCGTATCCATATTGAGTTGGCCATTTGAGCCAGGGATGCTGACTGGCAGCCAGGGCCTGTCCGCGGCCTGGGAGAGAGACGGCCTGTGGGGAGCACGTGCCAGGCAGGCGTCCGAGGCACTGCAAGCTGCTGGTTCCACAGCTGCTGTCACAAATTCCACAAACTTATAATTCAATGACATATTAAAAAAATAAAAGTAATTTTTAAAAACCAGCAAAAGAAGAGTAATAGAAGAGCTTCTTGTAAACCCAAAGAAAATAGAAGAAAAGAAAGTAATAAAGATAAGGGCAGAAACCAGTGAAACTAAAGACAGCAATGTTAGAGAAAATCAAAGGTAGTTCTTTGAAATAAGAAGACACAAATTACCCATCTCAGGAATTAAGAGATTATCACTGACAGCTCGGAAGAAATGATGGACCAGTTCCTTGAAAATACTGTCTTTCATTCTATTAGTTTGCTCCTGCTGCTGTAACAAATGACCATGAAT